AGTACGAGAAGTTCCAGCAATTTGCCTTGAGGCACGTTGCCGTGCACCCCACTAGTTAATTTTAGTTGTCCATTTTATTGTCGAATATCTCAAAATCCAGAATCGCGATATGTAATAGCCTCATATGATGGAAATGTTCCGTGTGTGCTTGCATAGTTACTTATGCGTGCGCGTACGTGCGCACTTGGGGAGTTGCGTTGGCCGCTAAGCCCGCAGCCCGCAGCCCGTTGCGATGGACTGGTGGTGTGGGCTATCGTATCGTACGGCATGTCCGCCGTCGTAGATGCGAGGTGGACATTTACATCTCTCTAAAGTATCGACCCGATCTCGGCATCTCGCAGCGCGTGCGAAAGGGATGACTGGAGACAGTGATGGATTTGAAATGATATGTATTAGAAATTTATTTGGACTAATTTTTAATAAACAATTATCTAGCCGAGATCTATGATTAAGCATGTTCGAGTTTGTTGAAAGTGCTCAACATAATGAAAATCTGTAAATTGCCTTACGTAAATAAACCTATGATGGAATTTGTATAACTTACCCTATGAAAAGGTTATTATTACTCTATTTTTTATACACCACTAGTTTTTTGAATAATTGAATTTGTTTGAACCGTGTTTCCGAAATCGTCGACAAAAATTTGTATCCGCACACACACACATACATACCCACAAATACACACATACATACATACACACATACATCCATTTTTTCTGAGGAATGCCAAAATGTTCAGAAACCTCTGAAATGTAAAGATATATAAAAATTTACATTTTCGATTCTTTTGCGATTATAACTTGCCCTACGGGAAGTTAAAAAATTATAAAATTGACAGAGTAAAATACATAAAAATAAACCATACTAGCAAAAATAAATATTAATAAACATGACTGGTTATTAACCAGTTAACGCCTAATTGCACAGTAAATACAGAACTTTTTAACAGATTTTATTACCATTACGTGGTGTGGCCATAACATTACTATTTTATCCAAGAATTGGCCTGGAAATCTGAAGACAGATAAACAAAAAACCAAAATTTAATAAAAAAGGCTCAACCCTGGTCTAATAAAATTATATAAATATACATTTATACTCTTCATACGAGAGAGCAATAATAAAACCTCATCTCTTTTATTGCACTATTTTGATATCGAAGTATCAAATAATCACTCATATTGTAATGCATCCCATAAATAAATAAGTCCGGCAATCATTAACCGGTTTTTCTAAGAAATTCAGTTTTCTTGAACTCGACCCAACAAAATACAGGTCAGTCAGTGGGCGTCCAATAATCACGTAATAATTTTTTCAGGAATTTTGGCCCTCCCTCCAACTAAGTGATACGTCGTGATATTTAGAATTGTGCCTCTCCCCCACCAAACATTAAGTATTTTTAGTTACGTATAATTTTTCGAACGAATTTTTCGAACTTACAAAAAAAACGTAAAATTACTGTTTTTATTTTGAAAATTTGTGAATATGATGATTGGTAAGTAATGTAATAGGCAGTCTTAAAGGCAGCAACTTAAGGGGGGATCCTGCTTTAGAAGCTTCAAAAAAAACGCTTTCTGGGAAATTTTTTGGAAAGAAAATAAATATTTAATTGAAACGAAACTTTCAGGTTTTATTGTTGCAAATTTCAATATTCTTCTCAATTTTTTTTATTAAAATATATGGTATAATATGCCAGTTACAAGCATTTTGCCGAGGCGCCACGAGCATGCAGGTGTCATTTGGCGGAAAAGGTGCAGGTTACAATTTCCATCCGAAACACATAAACCAACACAAATACATATTCTCAATAGTATAGATTCTAGTTGAACCTAAAAAATCTAGAAAAAAATGAGAAATACACCAATTTTTTGAAACTTGAAAAAAAAAATCATGCTTTTTTATACGAAATATCACGTTAGATTGTTTAAAAAGAGGGCTAATTATAACTTTTTTAAGTTTTTTTTAGGTTCAACTAGAATAGAATTTAATCCTGAATACCATAAACTTTGTCTCGTTTTGATAGGACTGAACGTTCCTATCATTTTTGGCCGCCAATTAGGAAGAATCGGAAATAATTTGAATTTGTTTCTGAAATTTTAGGGATATATCCTTGGCTGGTTTTGAAAGATATTTTTTCAAGAAAAAAAACAATTTTTTAAGCCTCTAAAGCAGGATCCTTGGTTGGTTATGAAAGATATTTTTAAAAAAAAAACGATTTTTTTAAGCCTCTAAAGCAGGCTCCTCCCTTAAAGATGATTTTCTAAATTATCATTACTAACTAATAAAAACGAAACCGTCTGTCGATAACATTAATACATGTTTATAATAATGAAGCATTTAAGACTGTATGTGCACAACGAATATATGAGATTTAGTATTAACATAATATTATATTATGTTTGATATTACAAATTCTATTCTCGATACAGCCCTGATTTTGAATAAGAGCGTCAGCATCGTCCGCCGGACCAAACTCTCCCTTTCCGCTTTCACTTCACTTTCCGTTTCTCAAACGGATTCGTCGACGAAAGGGTAAGTCGGGGGTGTAGCGGAAAGTCCGAAGAGCCGCGAGGGGTGGCGCGGCGCGGGACGAGTATTTTGCATGCTAAAGGGTTGAAGTTGCGAGAGAAAGGGGGCGCAAGTTTCGCTGCTGAGCAGTGGACGTTGTTCTATGTACGGACTCGGCCTTATATGAGTACAATCGTATAGTAGAACATCTGAGCAAAGCCTACCATATATACATATGATATATACATTATATATATATATATATATATATATTGTAAAATATTAATGAATTTTAAAACAAATATTATTAAAGCTGTATAAATTTATACACTCAATTTAGATCCATTTTAGAATAAAAAATAGCTTAACATATAACTAATATGCAGCAATAAAAATAAACATTTCATAAAACCGCGAGATTATGGCATTTTATAATTTTTAACATCCCGTAGGGCAAGTTATTGTAATCGTCCATAAACCCAAATTGATTTTTTTTAATTTTTCAACTTTTTGAAGGTTTCTGAACATTTTGGTATACCGTACCATATAATATGTATAGATACAATTTTTCGTCCACGTTTTCAGACACACAATCAACCGATTTGAATAATTCCAAAAACATTCGATTCTTTTTCATTTCGATTTCGATTCGATTTCGATTCGATTCTTTGATTAGTTTTTGGGAGAGTGCAGAAAAAAGAAATCAAAATTTGGAGAGAACGAAGCATCCAATTCGAATGATTAAAAAAACATTCATTTTGTAATGATAAAGAAAAGTGGTGATTAATTTTTGGCAAAAGCAGGCCCAGCCGTTTCGAAGATACGGAGCTGAATGTGCAAAAAATTGCAGTTTTTGAGAGCATCCGATTTGAATGATTCAAAAAACTTCTGCTTGTTTTGACGAAACGATTTTAAAAATTTGAAAGTCATTCGAAATAACTCCAAAGTAAAAAATTTTATCCACGTTCTAGCACATATTCGAAAATGGATTAGTTTTTGCTAAAGATCTGCCAGTCCGTTTTTCGTAATTAAATGTTGAACTTTTTATGACGTAGATTTTGTAGTCTGAAATAACACAATAAAAAATATTATAAGCGGTAAAATTATAAAAATTAAATGTCTCTAAATTTATGCCGTGCTTATATTTGATATACATTTGATATTATATATATATATATATATATATATATATATATATATATATATACATATATATGAATTGAGAGGTTTTTTCAGATGGTGAAATATTATATAAATTGTTTTGGAAGTCGATCCATTAATTAAAACTATTTTATTGAAGTAAAATGTTTTATTATCAAACGTTTCGGGTCCTAATTTGACCCATCTTCAGTGCATATAAATAATATGAAGAAAAAAACAAACGGACAATATAATGCAACAATTACTATACAATTTTCAAAGCACAAAAACTATTAATTAAAATAAATATTAAATTAACATAAAATGAATAAAAAGGTTTTAAAAAAAGAGCTCATCGAAACATGTTATTTGTTTGGAAGAAAAAGTTTTAATTAATGGAAGGACGCCAAAGAACAATTTTATTTGTATTATATATATATATATATATATATATATATATATATATAATATGTACGTTCTGAGTTTTGTATGAACCACTGATTACAGTTGACGTCCACACTCAAATAAAAACATCTTTTAAAAATGATCCAGATGAAATAAAATGCGTTAATTTAATTTATTCAATTACAGATATTATATGTATGTTTGAATTGGAAATCGTATTTATAAAATATATCTAAATATCTCAATTCTGATAGACTAAGTTGTTTACGTTGTGAGACTTAATGAATATTTGTTACTATTCATTATTATTACAATATTATTTTTTATAGGCTAACCAATAAATTAAGTTATTTTAATATTTATAATAATTAATATAAATATTTTTTTGCTAAATTTTATCTTATCTATATAATGTATATTTAGTTATTACGTTCGCACACACATTTAAGAAAAATGCAATATTTTTAATTTATGTAATTTATTCATATAATAAAAGTGATATTATTAGAGTTATATATTAACAATAACATTCACTCCAAGAATACTTTCAGATATTTATTTGTTCTTTCGTATAATTCTGGCAACGTATAATCGCTAACGATAATTTCGGGCTCCATTCCACATATTGTTAATGTATAGATTACGCTATTTTTTGTTGTTGGCATTTCTCTGATTTCGTAATCTACATTCAAAGCATTTATAGCGGCATTCATTTTTTCTTCTGCTCCTAAACACTGGTCATTCAAATGGATAACGCTTTTTTACAATTTTCCTCGCCACATTTCTTAAAAGGACAATCATAATCCGCCATTCTATCTACTACAATCGGGTTATAGAATTATTTTGTCTTGCTTTAATGATTTTGGCAAACGCCACTTCATTCATTGATTTTCCTTTAACATGCTTTTTGATATGCTCATCAAGATCTATACCCTGCAACATTTTCATCATTTTTTAGCTGATAAATGCTTAGCAGATTTCTTGGAAAAGGCAGTGGCAGTTTCCTTAAAAGTAGACACAGCGCATTGCATAGTAAATTGTTTAGCATGAGCTGGTCCTATATCACCAATCAAAGTATATTCAGGTATTGGTAAACCTCTTTTACGACAAAAATCGATAAGCTCCTGTACTGATTCATGAACTCTTGTAGAAGGTTTCCCTGCATCGGTTTCTATAACCTCTAAAACGTGTGGCTGAATTGGGTTCATTTCTGATATTTTCTTAAGGGCCAATCTTGAACAATCATGCTTAGCCATTTTCTTTGAAGAACCGGTACCGATAGCTCTTATTTCAGTCTCGTTTAACACCAGGCACACTTCATATTTAAAGATGGGATTTATAGTGGCTGTTCCGTCGTGAACCAAAGTGAATTTGGGACATGGCACTTTTTTCGCTGCGCAAAGATTCATTAAAGTTGAAACTGGAGTCTCCTGAGCCATTGCACGAAGTATGAATATTATAACACACAATATTATTCACATAAAAATTATTTAAAACCTGATATGAACTAGTTCGTGGCTAGCAAAACTACTTAATGTTTCTGATCTGTACAACATGAAATAAGCGCAAGTCAAAGATTAGCTATTACTTGCACATTCTTTTTTTTTCTTTTGATAAATTTTGTTTCCCTGATGTTGGTGCTCAATAGACTTGAACTATCTGCATAGTTATTTACCTTGTTATTTACTTTTGCTAATAATTAGAGTCATAGACAATAATAGAATATAATATATTCAAATAGAACTTTGTTTCTCCCAATTTTTATATTCAAGGTTCGGGCGTTCAGCTGTGATGGCGCTGGTATCGCATTCATATTAACGGCGCAAAATTTGAAATACAAAACAATGAATTTCAACAATAAACAATTTAACTTTTTAAAACTAAATTTTGTATTAAAAGCGTCCTAATTTTAGTAAAAATACAATAATAACTAGAAAAATAAAATCTATGAAATAATACACGTTACTAGTGATGATTGTGAAAATATTTGAAAACTTTGAAAGAATAAATTTTTGATAATTTTGAAATAATGAGACGCATAAACATCGGTATGGAGCCCATAGAAATGTAAACAAAATTTATACTTATTATTAAAATTTCTACAAAATATCTGATAATTTAATGTACATATGTGTAATTATAATTTTGGACCACTAAATATCAATTTTTTCCATTTTTTAACTTCCCGTAGCGTAGTTATAGTAATGGGCAAAAAATAAAAAATCGAAAAAAATTTTGCATATCTTCACGTTTTGAAGGTTTCTGAACATTTTAACATACCTCAGAAAAAATGTTTTGTATGTCTGCAAAATGTGTGTGTTTCGTATGTCCGCATTTTTTCATTTACGTTTTAGGGCGCACGGATCAACCGGTTTGAATGGCTCAAAAAACATTCGATTCCTATTAAAAGGTTTACTCTACTGGGATTTTGATGAAACTTTGCATGGTGATAGATAGTCAAACCAAATACCTTTAAAATATTATAGGCCTGTGATAAGTGGTTTAATTATAAAAATTAATTGAAAGATGGCGCGAGCCATAAAAACACGTCGAACCTTAGCGAACTATCACAGACAAAGTAAACTGTGAATACAGTTGAAAATTTCATCATAATTTCATTAGAAGGAGTATACCAAACGAAACTAATTGGGTGTATGGCATCGTGCCTTAAGGCAAATTGAAATGTTCGAGGAATACTGAATGTTTTCAAATAGATTATTATTAATATTGTAACATTGTCTAATATTTATAAGAATTATATAAACTGAATTGCTGAGTTGAAATTATTTGTTTAAAGTATATCAGAACTATAGTCGGAATTAAAAATAAAATCTGAATTATTTTCGATATACAAAAAATTTTTTTTTTGAAAAAAAAGTTGAAACAGTAGTTCTCTCAAAAACTGGCAATTTTTACATATTTTAACTCCGTATCTTCGAAATGGCTGGGCCTGCCTTTGCCAAAATCTAATAAGCACTTCTCCCAATCATTACTAATTGAATGCTTTTCAGATCATTCAAATCGGATACTCCGTTCTCTCAAAAAATCGATCTCTATTTTCTGCACTATTTGCTCCGTATCTCCGAAACGGCTGGACCTGCCTTTGCCAAAAACTGATCAGCTCTTTTCCCTATCAATAGGAATCGAATGTTTTTTGAACCATTCAAATCGGTTGATCCGTGCGCCCGAAAACGTGACTGGAAATTTGTATCCATACATACATACACACACACACACACATCCATTTTTTCTGAGGTATGCCAAAATGTTCAGAAACCTTCAAAACGTCGAGAAATGGAAAAAAATTCAATTTCGATTTTCGGCCCATTACAATAACTTACCCTACGGGAAGTTAAAGAGCAATTGACAATCGGACTCTCCAGACCAGAGAAATTAAAAAAATCCTAGTACTTTTTGAGCACACTTTGTACATGTGTCTAATAATAAAAATGACCGCTAAGTGACGTTTTCTTTTAACTTTTTTCATTAGATCTCCAAAACCACTAGACCCGCCTACCCAAAATAAATAAATAATATTGAAAT